TCCACGCAGCTGATCAGGGACCCGGTCCGACCCTGGTGATGCACCGGGGGCTCTGAGGGGCTCCCCAAGGAGAGTGGAGGAGGTGGCGGAGCAGACAATGGTGCTTCCGCGGTGACCATGGGGACGTGGTTTGACCTGCTGGTGCCCATCGTCAACAGAAAGATTTATGGAGGATCCATCCTCCCCAAGGAGAGTGGAGGAGGTGGCGGAGCAGACAATGGTGCTTCCGCGGTGACCATGGGGACGTGGTTTGACCTGCTGGTGCCCATCGTCAACAGAAAGATTTATGGAGGATCCATGGCATGGTCAATGGCTGCTGCAGCCCTTCTGAGGTGGCCATGGGGACGTGGTTTGGCCCCGTTGCCGCCCAAAGACTTCAGGAAGATCCATGATGTGGCCAGCGGTTATTACAGCTGTTCTGTGGTGGCCGCGTGCCAGGGGGTTGGCCCTGTCGGCACCCATCATCAACACAAAGACTTCGGGAGGAGCCACGACATGGCCAGTGGCTGGGACAGCCCTTCTGGGGTGGCCACGGGGACGTAGTTTAGCCCCATTGGCACTCACCGTCAATGTAAAGCCTTGGGGAGGACCCATGGTGTGGGCAATGACTCTATGGTCCTTCTGTGGTGGCCATGGGGACATGGTTTGGTTCCATCCGTGCCCATTGTTGGCTTGTGGGGAACCTGTGTAGGCAAAAAGCCACAGGACTGGGGACAAACGTGGACACAAAGACTTGGGGAGGACTCGTGATGTGGCCAACGGCTAACAGCCCTTCTGCGGTAGCCATGGGGATGTGGTTTGGCCTTTTTGGTGCCCGTCACCAATGCAAAGACGTGGGAAGGGTCCATGGCATGGCCAATGGCTACTACAGCCCTTCTGTGGTGGCCACAGAGATGTGGCTTGGCCCCGCTGGTACCCATTGTCAACACAAAGACTTGGGGAGGGCCCATGATGTGGCCAACGGGGATGTGGGTTTGCCCCACTGGTGCCTCCCATTGGCTCGTGAAGAAGCCATATGGGCAAAAAGGGATGGCATTGAGGCTGAAGGTGGACACAAGAGCTCGGGGAGGACCCATGACATAGCCTGATGGCTACTACAGCTCGTCTGTGGTGGCCACAGGGGTGTAGTTTGGTCCCGTTGGCACCTGTCGTCATCACAAAGACTTGGGGAGGTCCCATGACGTGGCCAATGGCTACCCTAGCCCTTCTGTGGTGGCCACAGGGACATAGTTTGGTCCCGTTGGCATCTGTCACGATCACAAAGGCTCGGGGAGGTCCCACGATATGGCCAATGGCTACCGTGGCCCTTCCGTGGTGGCCACATGCCCACAGTTGGCACCCAGTAGGTGAGATGTCATGGGGGGGGGGGAGTTTTCAGGA